TTCCCGAGAACTAGGAAAACTTTTTCGAATTGCGCGGTTTGCTTTGCAAGAAATGCTAGGTAGCCCTCATAATCAATAAGACGCCCAATATCTCCCGCCAAAATGAGATAGGGTGCCACAGGTGCGATCGAAAATGTGTAATATTGTGAGCACACTTCCAGATGTAGATCAGACAGAATCTGGAAATTTGGGGCAGACTGCTGTTTGGTAAAGAGAAATCGGATTTTATTGACGACGGAAGGTTGTACCATCATACTTCCACCGCTTGAACGGGCAAATCATCCACAGGAGCTTCTGCTTGAGCATTGAAGCAGTAAGCTTGGGGGCAGGATGGGTAATAAACGGCTAGATGGACAGGGAAGTTGTACGCATTGGCTTCTGGTGGTAATTGAGATTTCATGCTTACTAATCACAAAACATCATGAACCAGCGATTCAAACTTCTCATCATATCTTTTTTCTTACACAAGTAGTATATTTTGAAGTATCTGGCTTTCTATTTTCCTCCCCTTTGCTGTCCGAACTGAAATTTCCATTCAACCCCATCCGCCTCCCATCCCCTCCTCATCCTTGTCCACCGTCCCGAGTTAGCTGAGTCACTATCGGAGCATCGTATTTCATTTCTACATGCTCGAAATGTGAATATTAAGTGTGTCAAAAGCATTCGCTATGACCTGTTAGAACGAGTGAATTCAGCTGAAGATCATGTCGACATCTTCTGCTCCATTACTAACTTGTAGCAACACATCCTATCATGAAAAGAAGACACCAGAAGCATCGATATGGATGCAGAGAACAATGACTTGCATTCATTTAACATAGATCAGCCCATGAAGATTATATCACCAAGTATAAATAGCCTGTCCCAAATACTGGCCTAAACCTAATCCTCAAAGCATCTAAGCCATCATCGTTCGAAGCGATCTCTCTTTATTGCCCAAATACATAATGACGAATGCATATATATACATTGCTAGCAATACCCAATCAGGACTATATTGTACATGCATTTTCGACGCGAGCAATAAATGTAGCACAAGCAGCTACTGACCAAGCCAGCTCAGGAGATACATATCTATCCATAGGAGCTGTTCCCGCAAGGCTTATGGATCCTCAGGAAAACCTGCTGTTAACTCCTGTCTTCTTCATTATACTTTTCAACTTCGTTCTTTATCAATTATACGCAATCCTTCTTCATATAACCCCAGAATCCCTTTCTCCAGGATCATCATAGACTGTATGACTAAAAGCCTCGTAATCATCATTATCAACCAACCACTCTATATCCTCATCATCCGGGCCTAATTTGCTCATAAGCCCTGTTCCAGCTTTTGGATATGGTGGACTATTTGGGGTGGACTCTCTGCTTTCCTGAGACACTTCCTGTCCATTGCCCATCCCATTTGTATTTCCATTTGATTCCATGTTTGATGAGGCCTGTGGAGGAAGTGTTGGTGGAGCGGAAGAAGCATGAGTGAAAGCTGGAGCCGGAGGGAATGACGAGGTAAACATTGGCGAAGGAGTGATGTTAGAGGCTGTGGAATTGGGGGCTACTTTGCGAATAAAGTTCATTGGTGCGTTGGGGTTTGATTCTGCACGAGAGAAAAGACCCGCTGTGGAGGTGGCGGAGGGAGGAAATGGTTGTGTGATGTGATTGGTTGTGGAGCGAGATGAATTCTGTGATTGGCGGGGTTGAAGGGGCGGAGTATTGGCGGGGAATATAGGCATATCTGGGTGCAGAATAGAGGCTTTAATGAGAAGCTCTACTAGCTGGGGATGAGGCAGTAAGGCTAGGTATGTCCTTCTCTGCAAAGATTGTTAGCTAGTACACTTAGAGTATGAAAGCAATGTAAAATAAATACCTGGTCGAGTGTTTTGCCGGCCCAGCTAACACCGTCAGTCTTAGACGGTGCCGGTTTAATACCCCTCTTTCTTGCGCAATCATTACAATACCACGGTGCCTGTTCATCCTTCACTTCTTCTTCTGAAACTATAGGGTCATGGCACATTTGATGCCACCCTAAATTACACCCATCGCAAAAGACTATCATATTGTTCTGAGGACTATTGCCCCTACCGCATCTCTTGCATAATGCTTGTTCTTGATTTTGGGTTCGTTTATTTGTTGACGCAGACGATCGTTTCCGCGAGCTCGTCTCAGGCAAGGTAGGTACGAATTGAGTCGGCTTCACTATTTGTCTTCCGCTTTGTGTAATTTTTGGCATTTCCACCGCACTGCTCGAATCGTCCGAGTCTGAATCTCCGCCTAGACCACTCAAAGCTTCAGATTCGTCCGCACTCTCACTATCATCCTTGAGTCTTTTGCGCTTTTGTCCTGTCTTGAGTCCTTTTCGCTTCTTTTTGGTTCCTGCACTATTGGATGATACAGTCGGAGTCTCAATTTTGGGAGTTCTAGGTGTGACATTGGACTTGGGCGTCGACTTTTTGCTAGTTTGATATCTTGGTGGTGGTGTAGTTATTTCCATATTCTGCGTAGTTTTCATCCCCGACATGACGTTCCTACGCATTTCTTCATAGCCCGGTGGTGTCCCTGTAATGCCAATACTGGATAGCCCGCCAGATAATCCTGCTCTCATACGTTGAAGAATCATTTCGGTCGCGGCAGAGAATTGAGGGACATATTTAGGAGGCGACGATTCGCCCATGGTTGTATCATTTGATCCATTTGCAGAAGCTGGAGCATTATTTGGCGCGTCCATGTCTGTCGTGGTTGCTTGATATTCAGTAGAGGCAATGATATTTGCGCCGGCGAGAATCAACAAAGCTACCGTGCCGCAGCAAGCGTGATGAATATCTAGAATTAATGAGCTAGTTTGAAAGAGTATAGTATTGATTGACCGAAGTCAATTGACTAATTGAAGGCCGTGATATTATTAATGGTAAGGGCCAAAAACAATTGATGTACTGGACGTGTCAGCACGCGCATTGATAGATCCCAGCAAAATATAATTATGACGGAGCTTATGAACATACAGCTTCAGCCTGTCGAAGAGTGTAGGAGTTGATGCTCTAGGAAGTACTTGTAGATGTCGTTATGAGAGAGTACAAAAAGTGGTCTGGTGATGAATAAACTGGCAATCACATGTTTAATAATCATGTGATGAGATAAAATCACATTGGACTCCGTACAAATTAGCCTAATGCCTTGCGTGTTGAAGAGCAACAAGACCCAACGACATCTGTAGAGGCCAATTATAGCATTCGAATGTCCAAGATATCTATTTAATTCTATTTTACAGCTCCTTCGGCCTTCAATGCTTCAATATCAGATTCATCCATCCCTAAGATATCTCTAAGAATCTCATCTGTATGTTGTCCTAGCATAGGAGGTACTGTTCGTATACTTGGCTTGCTCTCACTGTATTTTACAGGAGTGTTGACCATCTTAATTGGACCACAATATTCGTGATCCATCTCTTTTACCATATCCCTTGCTAACACGTGCTCATGATTCAATGTTCCTTGGACATCATTGATAGCTGCATAAGGTAGCCCGGATCCCTCAAAAATATCCAGCCATTCTTTGGTAGTTTTGTCTTGAGTGATTTTCTCTATAGAGCTGTCTAAGTCTGCTCGATGAGCAACTCTTGCTGTGTTAACGACAAATCGTGGGTCCTCTTTCCACTCTGGGCGTCCAAGCCCATTGCATAGAAGTCCAAATAATCTATCATTTCCTCCACCGAACAAGATGTCACCATCTTTTGTTTTGTACGAACGATATGGTACGATAGATGCTAGCACTGTTATTAGGTAAAGTTCTCAACAAGAACTGGAGTCACTTACGATGAGCAGTCCCCCATCTCCCTTCATCCTTCTTCCCACTTATCAAGCACGAACTTGCCAGATTCGATAACGTGGCAACTTGACAATCTGATAGAGCAACATCAATGTGCTGTCCCCGTCCTGTTCTTCCTCTTGCCAGTAAAGCAGCCATAATACTGTTACTAGTATACAAGCCAGTCGTCAAATCCGTTACGGCAACCCCCACTTTCACGGGAGGTCCGTCCCTACTTCCAGTGATGTGCATCAATCCCATCTCAGCTTCAACCATAACATCATATCCGGCTCGGTTTCGATATGGACCAGTTTGACCATAGCCGGTGATAGAAGCGTATATCAATCGCGGATTTATTTCTCGCAGTGTTTCGTAGTCCATCCCATATTTCTTTAGTGAACCTGGTAGATAGTTCTCAACGAGAATATCACTCTCTGCAGCGAGTTTATGGAGGATTTTGACTGCCGATGGATGTTTAAACGACAATCCGAGGGACTTTTTGTTCCGGTTAACCTGGTAATTGGTGAGCAGTGAAACTTGCGGTGTATTGGAATATGAGGTCAAGCTACAGCAAAAAAGTATGCACTTTCTCCGGGCCCTTCCTTTCCTGATCCATCCAAGTATTTCGCATAAGGAGGTCCCCAGTGTCTAGTATCATCACCTTTCGTCGGATGCTCGACTTTTATTACTTCTGCACTAGATTCATGAGTTTAGATAATGACATAAGGGATAGCAAATCATACCCAAGATCTCCTAATATTTGTGTGCAGTATGGCTGTTAATGGTCAGGAAAGCCTTATGTAACTTTTAATTTTTGGACTTACACCTGCAAGCACTCGAGTCATATCCAATACTTTGTACCCTTTCAGAGGCAGTGTCATATCATTTGTCGAAGCATCTGCCAATCCTCTGCGCCTGGTGTGCCCAATCATTGGATTGAAGCCATTGGAACGCCATAACACACGGGAAGCTCTAAGGAGCGACCGTGAACAAAGCGAAGTGGTCATAATAACAATCAATGTACAATGGAGGATGATCAGAGCTTAATTCTGAGTGATGTTTACTGTTGTTTTGCCCCGCTACCCCAGATTTTTGGCGCATCTCGGCTCGGCGAACGCAATCACCGAGATGTACGCTCACGGAAACTTCACAATCTCGAGATATTGTAGGGCAAAGCAATATGCATGAACAATGGATGGCAAATACTTCAAAAGGCAGTCAAGAAATATAAAATACAGTGAATATTATATTAAGTATTGGACCTTTTATTTCCCCAGAATCACGTATATGTGCACCTCTAACCTTCTTCTCTATCCATTTCATCACGACCTCTTTTAGCACCATTCGCAGGTCTTCTTCCTTTCAATACTGCCCCCTTCTTACCTCTATCTTCGTGTAAATTCTTCATCTCATTCCTAGCATGTCTTTGAGCTTCTTCTACCCTAGGTTTGAAGACCATAACTTCATCCTTCACCGTCGGGTATTCGTCCTGCTTCTTTCCTAATGCTGCCTCGATACGCATCCAAATCTCCACATCGTATTGAGTCACAAAACTAATTGCGTGTCCGGATTTTCCTGCACGAGCAGTACGTCCAACTCTATGAATGTATGTTTTACTGTCCTGTGGCATGTCGTAGTTCAACACAACATCAACTGAGGGGATATCCAAACCACGAGCAGCGACATCTGTTGCGACAAGAATTTCTCTTGAACCTGCACGGAACTTATTTAAAGCACCCAAGCGAGAAGATTGTGAAAGTTGTCCATGTAGGGGAATGGCTCCGAACCCAAGGGTACGTAACAAGATTGCTATTCTCTGCGTCTCGTTGACTGTCCGTGTAAAAATGATGGCGGATTGACCTGCAAACTCGTTCAAAAGATAGATTAAGTACGTATCCTTGTGAACTAATGGTATGAAAATGTAATTTTGAATAAGAGTCGAGACAGTCTGATATTTGTTGCTGCTGATGCTTACTCGTAATGGGTCCTTCAAACTTGCTCGTTGAAGACTTTCGACTTTAGAACTGATAGTTGCGGAAAAGAGATATGTTCGTCGCTCTCGGGGTAAAACTTTCAGGATTTTATCGAGAATAGGTCCGAAATCTAGGTCGAGTAGTCGATCGGCTTCGTCCATAACCAAGTACTTGAGAGACCGTAATGAAAAGCCCTTTGTATTTTCTAGATGATCGAGAAGACGACCAGGAGTGGCAACTATAATGTGAGGTTTTTTACCCAAAGCGATGGATTGCGGTACCATGTCCATTCCTCCAACTATGACAGCACATTTTACTCTTATCACAGACCCAAGAGCCTCGAATTGTTGGGAAATTTGATATGCAAGTTCGCGAGTCGGTGCTAATACTAATCCAAAGAGGGGTTGTGGTTTATCGAGTAGAGCTTGAAGAATTGGTAAAGCAAATGCGGCAGTTTTTCCACTACCAGTTTCTGCCAGACCGATCAAATCTCTCCCTTGAAGTGCGAGTGGTATAGATTCCCTTTGAATGGGAGTTGGGGCCTTGTATCCTAAAGTGTCGCATGCTTCGCATAATGAGTCGACGATGCCCTGGAATTGTGAGTAAGAGATATAGCGATAGACAAGTAATTACGCACCAAATCTTTAAAAGACTTTGGGGCCTCATCCTCCTCAACTTCCTCATTCTCTTCGATAACTCTGTTATCTTCAGTATCCTCAATTGGCTCTGGGAAGGTGTGGGGGAGTCTTTTTTCGACTCTTTTGTCTTCTTCGATTTCACATCCTCCAAAGATGGATTTTTATCGGTCTTTCTCCGCTTCACGGAAGACATGATTGTTATCTCGTCCGACTGAATACTAATACGTAGAAGTGTATTGAACCAAGGCCTTCAATTAATAGGATTCTCAATGTTGGCGCAATCCTTTCGACGGTATTTATAGACTGAGTGTGAAGAGCTAGGGAAGATAAGAAGGCTAGAGAAAATAATTTTTAACGGCTTATCGGATCCGCTTATCTGATTGGCCGCGCAAAAAAGTTTCTACCTTTAAGAAAATGTTAGGAGAAAGTCCTAAAGAAATAACATCATACAATTCAGAACAACAAAAATGGCGAGAAGACGTACTAAGAAGCGCACCCATGTTGGTGCTAATAACCCAGCTGGAGCAAAGGGAACTCCTGCTTCTCAAGCTTCACGATCCCCAAAAAGCATGGTAATTCGAGCTGGTGCAGGAGAAGTCGGACCAAGTGTTAGTCAATTGGTGAGGGATGTTAGACGGATGATGGAACCAGATACGGCCTCAAGATTGAAGGAGAGAAGAGCAAACAAACTGAGAGATTATCTCACAATGGCAGGTCCTTTGGGTGTCAGTCATCTCATGTTGTTCTCGAGATCAGAGGCTGGGAATACAAACATGCGACTTGCTCTTACACCAAGAGGTCCAACATTACATTTCAATGTGGAGAAATACTCTCTATGTAAAGATGTGAGGAAGGCATTGAAGCATCCTAAAGGTGGTGGAAAAGAATATACAACACCTCCATTGGTACGTTTACAGTCTCTTGTATTGGTCAACTGGGTTGTAACTGACCAAATCAGCTTGTGATGAATAATTTCATATCTCCTGCGTCAGAATCGAGTTCCGAGAATAAGATACCCAAACACCTCGAATCGCTCACAACCACCATTTTCCAATCTCTTTTCCCACCGATCTCTCCTAATGTCACACCTTTAACATCCATTCGCAGAGTTATGCTTCTCAATCGAGAGCCGACTAAAGGTGAAGATGATGGCACATACACCATTAACCTTCGTCATTACGCAATCACAACCAAACGTATTGGTCTCTCGAAGCCATTGCGAAGATTGAACGCTGCCGAACAATATCTACATTCAAAAAATCCAAGAAAGGGAATACCAAACCTCGGAAAATTGGAAGATATTGCCGATTACATGATTGGAGAAGACGGGGCTGGATATATGACAGATAATACAAGTGGAAGTGAGGTTGACACCGACGCAGAGGTTGAAGTGGTTGAGACGCGCACTCGTAAGATTCTCAACAAGCGCCAAAAGGAAAAGACCCGTGATGGACAAGTCAAGGGTGCCAGGAGCGGTGCTGAAAAACGGGCTATCAAATTAGTGGAACTAGGACCAAGGATGAAGCTAAGAATGACAAAGGTCGAGGAAGGCGTATGTGACGGAAAAATTATGTGGCACGAATACATTCATAAATCTAAGGAAGAAGTCAAAGAAATGGACAAGGTCTGGGAGAAGAGAAGACAAGAAAAGGCAGTCCGTAAGAAGATTCAGAAGGAGAATGTCGAGAGAAAAAAGAAGGCCAAGGCTGGTAACAAGAAAGGTGGCGACGAGGACGAAGATGATGACGAAATGGACGTCGATGAGTGGGATAGTGAAGGTCTAGAAGGGGATGGAGAAATGGAGCTAAATGAGGAGATGGAAGAAAAGGGAGAATGGGAAGATGAAGAAGAGGAAATTGCTGCCGGTTGAGTATGGGTCGTACTCACACATTGTCAATACCTTGATGTATAAATTTTTCTGGCGCATTCAAAGGTTCCATGGTTATTCTGTCAATATGATATCTAATTTAAATCATGTCCTCCAATATCTTGACTGCCCTTTGACTAACAGGCCGTCCAATGGGCAAATAGCAGACGTCTCCGTTCTATAATTTTGATTGTTATACACAGAAACATGGCTCTTTCTTCTTCTTCTGCCCGACAAGTTATGTGTGTTAGAAAATCGAAGGCTCTTACGAGTCTCAAAACGTAATCTTGGCAAGTTGTCTGGGTCCGATATACACGGTTTCGGCGCTTGTTAACAGTGTCTCTTACATGACTATGAATTGTCTCGAGTCACATGCGGTCATAGTCACAAATATAAGATGAGTGCCATTTTAGCCAAGGAATACGATCTCATCCAATTGATATAAATTGTATGGTGAAAACATGGTTACCAACAGAAGCCCATCTAATCGACCAAATCCCTAATTGCCTACCGACACTACATACAACATTCTAAACAAATTGAGAGTTTCGATCCATAGAAGAACAACACTTTGACGTAAGACACAATGACAGCACTTCGTAACCTCATTTTATCTCTTTCCCTGAAGGATAGGGGCAACTCGGCTAATTAATAATCTACTCGTAGGAGCCAATGAGATACTATATCAACTTCATACTCAACTATCTACTACTTACTCTGCATGTCTATATTCTTCATATGTTATTTGGATTTTTTCTGAACCATATCGTCTAGTTCTGATTGCAGCCAGGATAGGATTTCTAATAAAACAAGTCCAACACTAAAGTAAAAGACATTCGTATGGTATTATCTCTGAAGACTACTGTTATGTATAGATGTCAGGCTACATTATTCGCTCTAACTCATGATGATAAGAATAAACTTCCTTTGTTATGCTATTTAAATGTTCAATAATTTCAAAGGTTTTCTTGAAAAATGTTGACTTTGAACCTGTTTGATAAAAAGTGCTTTAATTCCTTTGCCCTCTTCACCGTCTACATTCTCTCTACTTTCCAAAATCTAAGATTCTTTAGTCTCTATGTTCTTTTCACTTGTTGTGTTCTATTCGTTCTCTGTATACCTATTTTCTTTGTCTGCGTTCTTTCTGTCTTTTATGTTCTCTTTGCCCTTTGTACTACCCTCCATCAAAATATATAGAAACACTGTCCTCACCCCAAATTGAATACCAAAATACCATATCCTTCGTTCCACTTACGATCCCAGAGCAGTAAGCATGCTTCCCGCTACCAACACCAAAGCCCACACAGAACGCGATGTCATCGCCCAAGACATCGCAAGCGAGGCCGAAAAGGTCGGTTTTCACCGCTGGAAACCCGTAACCGCATATCCCGGTCCCTACACCCTTTACCGTTCTTCCTCTCCAAACTACGTTTCCCCACCAGGAGACCCTTCCCAATTTATCGACGCAAAGGGTATTGCATTCTTGCACAAACACAATATCGGCCACGTGATCTGTCTCAATGGCGACGAACCGAGTTGTCTCAAGATTGAAGCCGAATTGACCAATGCCAATCCGCGAATCATCTACACACATCTTCCTGTGGCAGATTACACTCCACCGTCTCTGGATCAGATGGAAATGGCCTATCAAGAGTATTTGAATGCAAAAGTACCTACACTCATTCATTGTGGATATGGGCATGGGAGAACAGGAACAATGATTACGGCATTGCAGTATAAGATTGAGAAGGCAAAAGGAAAGACGCCGGATTTTAAGGATATAGATTATGCTAAGAACCAAGTCGAGAAGACTTATTACGGGAGGTCCACGGGACAGTACGAAATGTTGAATTTGCTGCAAGGGAAGAAGTGAATTCGTTCAGGTGGAGAGCATGCTGGCGCTCAGGAAGTGGCAACGACGGGTTGGAATTGGGAGCACCTATCTTACTCGCAGGACGGAACAAATACTCTCGGCTAGTAATTTCAATATCATATCATTGACATTGTTACTTCTGGAATGTGCGGCTTCAATCCCTCAATTGTGATTGGATTTCAGCCTGAGTGGGTGCGTCTAAAAGCTGCGGAAATAAATCCCTTTCGGACTATATCTATTTAACTGGCCATCTAAATTTCAAATGGAAGTGCGTATGGTGATAATGTCAATCCACACATAAAAAATGCTTTCAGATCTAAAATCGAGGTTGAAACGATCTTGATGCCAATTCTATCAGTACAGCATAGTTTAGGAGTAAGTGTTGGCAAGAATACACCCAGACAGAAGTTTGCACCGATTGTACTCGCCAGTCTCTCCTGAATTTTAAATTTGGGCAAGTTGAAGTCCAGCAAGGGGTTTCAGTCAGTTACAAAGTTATTTCCACCGCCTCGGACTAATGAAATACTGGAAATCATTCATGCAACTATTGGCTTCTAAGCCCCATACTTTGGGCGATACAAGTGACTTTTCATTGCACTGGATCTTCTGATAGAGATTCGAGATTCTTTCTAAAGAGGTATGATGCGCATCCTAGAACTACCTAGGTATCTGAAATGCCGTGGTTCTAACATCACTCATCCTTCCGCCCACTTCACATGCATTTCACATTTCACATTTCACCTTTCACTTGAATCTTAGATCTGTGAAAATTGTAGCAGGAAATTTATATGCATTCCATTCCATTCGGTTGATCCAAAAGGCATCAGCCCACTGACTTGACCGAGTTCAAACACTGCGCCATACACCATCTGACTCTATCCAACCATGAGGATTCCAGGTCATGAATCCATCCTAACAATGCAACATGACATGTCTAATCCCTGGATCAAACTTTCCTTGAACGCCATCATGAATTTGTCCATCTTTTTGAACACTAAATATCCGTCAACTGATCCAAGCACGTTTTGCACGCTAAACTATACTGATGCATTGCTACAAAACTTCATCGTTGTCCCAGCTCCACCAGCTGCTTCCTCCTTTCCTTCCATCTTCTTTACCCGCGTGATCTTCCACAAGTTCGTCTACCACCTCATCATCTCCCAGCTCCACAACCTTAGGTATCGTCACTCCTTCCCTCTTCATCTTCTCCTTCCAAATCCTGATCTCCTCGTCATACCCCTCCCACCAATCCCACGCATCTCCTATCCCCTACTAACCACCTTCCCCGTCCATTGATCCATCTTGGTCGGAATAGCCCAGGGCCAAAACGGATCAGAAGGGTGCCAAACATCTTTATTTGAGTATTTGGGATGACAGTACGTTTCACACATAGCCCATTCAGCTACAAACCACGTTATGAAGATTGTAAATAGTAATCCGAACCAGGTAAGTT